TTTTTTTTTTTTGTGCAAGCACAGAACTATGCAAATTTCCAGCTCACCAAAGAAACTGCTGATGGGGGCTTTCTTGGGCGGCTCCTTATCTTTCTGCTCTTTTGCTTCTTTCTGTTTTTTCGCCGTTTGACTTTTTGGGCTCTCTTCTCCATCTCGCGTGTCCTTTTCAACCACCTCCTTCTTCTTGGCAACGGCAGGCCCTTTCTCATCATCCGTCTTCTCCTTTGCTTCGTTTTTCTTTACCGCCCCCTCAGCTTTCTTTTCCTTCTCATCAGATCTCTTTGTCTCCACCTGCTCCTCCTCCTCCTCCTCGGCCTTCTCTCCTTCCCCTTTCTTCTCATTCTCCACCTCCTCATCTGGGCTGTTAGCCTCGGTCACTGCCTTTTCAACTCGTTCTTCCTTTGCTCCCTCCTCCATGGGTTCACTGGGGTTCCCTGCACAGGGTGAGACAGAAAGGAAGTGTCATTGAAGAGATAAATGCCAGCAGGTTTACTGAGGGCGACCCAGTTTTTTTGTGAGCCCATGTTTGAAGACGGTTTTCAACACAACAGCCTTTTTTCGTTAAATGCCGCAGGTTAGATTTTTTTGAGGTTTCCTTTTCACCCGAGAGTCAGGTAAGGGAGAAATTGCTATTGACAAATGTGGAGCATCGAGTCCCAGAAGAGAGAGCTCAGGCCATGATATTGTCTGAGTGAGGAGGCAGGCATGAAACTTTAATTTTCTCATCCACAAGTTAAAGCGACTGGTGGATTGGGCTGGTGAATCCAACACTTACTTATGGTACTTTACCAGTCAATTTCAGAAAAAAGAGGAGCCATTTTCCTGTCTGTCGTGCTAGTGCAGGTACACATGGTGCTCAAAAAGAAAATACCACATTTAGGAGCTGCTGGCTATGGGAAAGTCGATCATTTTGCCGGGCCTTGACGGATGGTGCAAATTTCTTATCAATGATGGTAAAAACATGGGCCCCAAAGCTTTTCTGAGTTTTTAAGGATAGAAATTCCTCAAAAAATGGCAAAGAGAGAAAGTGAAACCTTGTCACAGAGCAGAGTTACTGCAGCTTGCTTTGAAATTCAACTTTTTCCACAACTCCATTTCTTAAGTATTTCTTTAACTGAGGGGTTTGGCACTTGCAGTGGCATCTTAATAGAAAGATTAAACTAGGATTATACGGCAGCAAGTATTATAATTTCAAGCAATCACTGATGAGAGCCGACTTTCCTTTCATTATTTTTTTTTTTCACCATTAGCCTGTTTTCGCTCGTTTTTACTTTCTCTATCTGCAGGCTTATGGCATCGTCACAACATGTCTTAGGTTGACATACCGCTATTTTCTGGTTAACACACATCAGTTGCGTCATTCGACGTTGGGGCTGCAACTAGGAATTACTTTCATGAATCAAATGATCTGATAATGGGGCGCACTGGTAGCTCATCTCGTAGCGCTGGCACCCCATGTAACCAAGGCTGAGTCCGGGCTGTAGCGGCCATGGGCTCGACTCTGACCTGTGGCCCTTTGCTGCATGTCATCCCCGCTGTCTTTCCCCCTTGCCTGTCACTCTTAAGCTATCACTAATCGATTTAAGTCGGAAAAAAAACCAACTCACAGATAATCATCTGTTGGCTGACTGTAGTCGACTAATCGCTTCACCTCTATATCAGCATCTACTGCTTCTCTGTCAAGTTGCTGCACATCAAGATGCAATGACAAGCAATGCTACCAGTGTGTGTGGGCTTTTAAAGGGAACAACCAAATGGGCACGGGTGGTTTTACAAGCGCCAGGCGGCACCAGGGTTCCAGTTCCAGTTCAAGGATACTTTCCAATTAAAAAAAAAAAAAAAAAAAGTGTTCCACATTTTGAAACTGCACAGGGTTTTTTGCCTGTATGTGTAGTCATGTGTATGTTGATGCCCTAAATGATCACTATGGCATTATAAATTCCTGTAAAATCCTACACGGGAATATGTTAACACTGCCAGTGCTGTATTTCCAAATCTTACTGCGCTTCCTCACACACACACTCCCATGGGAGTAAATGCATATTCATGTGGAATTCATATACTTTCCTATAAAAAAGGAAACGTTGCATGTTTAACATGTGCTCTTCATTCTGGACTTTTTCCTGGGAAGGGAATAGCATAGACCCTGTGAGTGCTTTGTGAAGTTAAGCTGGTGCTTTGCTGACAGACACTCGAGGGAACTGTGGTCCTTGTTCACTATATAACACCACATGGAGTTACAGTTTTTTTTTGTTTGTTTGTTTTTTACAGCAAGTATATGAAATGCTAGTAGAAAGTGTCAGTGTCAGAGCAATAAAGGAACTGTTGGGACATTGTATGCCCTTGCTTGTAGTCCTAGTATTGTAAAACAAAACAAAGGTTATTTTCATGGATTTTGTGAGAGTGTAATAATCATTATTAATGAGTGGGTGTTTCTCCAGTGTATCTGAGGTGTTGGTGCAACTTCTCAACTGTGAAAATCCTAGAAAGTCTGCAGTTTATTTTCAGTTCTCACCAAGACTTTGCAGCACTCTGTTATCACACTCGTAGCAGAGGTGAAGGCATACCTGGGCTGCTGGCACTGCTCTCCACACGGGGTCGTTTCTTCCGCTGACCCTGCTCCTCCTTGGCCTCGGCCTCCTCTTTCTGACTCTCGCTGCCGCTCCTGCTCTCATCGAGCTTCCTCTTTGGGAACATCTTCCTCGCTGCACACGTCAGGACAGGCATTAAATTAAAAAGGAGGAGACAAGAAAAAAAAACAAAAAAAAAAAACGTAGTGAGATGCATCCCAACTGAAATCATGCCACGATCAAACAAAGAGAATGTGGAGATGAAAAAAGGACGTCTGCTCTCTTACTGCAGATGTAGGGCAACGGAAAAAAAAGAGAGAGAGAATCACAGATACGTACTTTGCTAATGAAAACACTAATTCCATCCTGAAAGATATTATGCAGCACAGCAGCTTAGGGTTCCAGTGTAATTTCCTCTATAATTTTATGCAGCAGTGGTGCTCGAGGGTAATTTTAGTTTTGGTTCCACACCCGCCTCTGTTTTGGTCCTTGTTAGGGTTCTAGCACAGGTAGCGCTGCTGATGTTTTTCTTCTAGATATCATAATGAAGGCATTAACCCAGGACATTAAGAATGCAATTTCTGGTCAAATTAGAGCGTTACTTTAATGTGATGTTTTTCTCCAGTGGTGATGGTGCCAGCGCCGCTTATTGTAGCAACGCACCACTGCTGAAAGCAAACACTGCAGTCATCAAACACAAACAGAACGGCATGATGAAAAGAGAATGAGCCGCTTTCCTGCTGCAAAAGTAGGATGATGGAAACAAAGTGAGAGAAAGGAGGTGCCTCCCAAATGAAAACAAAGCTGCGATACTAGAAAACTGTGTAGCTCTAAGTCGCTTAAATTCTCAAATTCCTGCGTTTCTCGTGTGCCATTAAAAATACACCAAGTACAAAGCTCCACTTAAAATCACTTGGCCATTCTCTTTCATGTTAAACGCAGAAAGTTAACACAACGCATCTCATTTAGAATTTACAGATAATGAACATGTATGGCAGACAGCATTAGCATCTCTTTTATGCTGATTTTGCTTGTGTGAAATGTTCCGGCTGTATGTACAACTCAGCAAAATAATAATACATCAACTACATATGTTCGTGCCATTTTTTAAGGAAAGTTACCAAAGCCTGCAAACTAAAAATGAACCATATAAACATTGACAATCAGCTACTATAATAAGACGACTTGCTCTGCTGATTCCATTAATGCCCAGTCAGCAGAAACTATACATGGCAAGATAATGCAGCAATAATATTATTATCACAGTGCAAATACATGCAGGGAAATAATGATATACGCTCAGTGAGTGCTTGTGTTTCAGCAGATGAGATTAATGACAAATATAAACGCAACACAATCTACTGGTTGTCAGTTCAGGGTTGAGACCTGTCCACAGTGTCAAGAGACAAATGAAACAAGAGGGAGGAGAGTGTACTTAGCTGTTTCTGGTGAACAAACCTCTCATGCATGCAGTTTGTGATAAATTAATGAAAAAATTAATTGTTTTTTTTCCCCCTCATTGTGAAATAATGAGTATTTGGAGTCATTAGGCTCCTGCTAACAAGTAATCAAGTAAAATAGCTTGCGGCAGAAAAACGATCGATCCTCGGCTGGTGTCAAAGTTCAAATAATGCTGCAATGAGAAAAGCAGAAATTGAAAAACAAATAACGGAGAGAAGAGATCAAATCCGACCAAATACTGACCAGTCTTGCGTTTAGCAATCCCAGAGGGGGAGATGGAGTTTGGGGTGCTGGGGGTCCCAGGTGAAGCCGAAGAGGCTGGGGTGGCTGGAGTGGCAGGGGTTACAGGGGTGGCTGGGGCAGGTGGAGGAGACAGGGGGGTGGGAACTGCCTTAAACACATCATCCTTCTGAAAAAGATAAGCAGGGTTGGTATTAGTGATCACTGAGACAAGAAGCAGCATAAACAAAAGCTTTAATGGATGTAATTACTGCACATCGGGCTTTAATTCGAGGGGATTTCTCTCTTTTTTCCCCTTTTCATATCAACATCTTTTTCCATCTACAGCTGACAATGAAAGGCAGGAACTGACAATAACAATTGTCCAGCTGTCCCAGACAATATGATCTGGATCACTGTGGACTGCATCACCCAACCTCAATCTTCTGCCAAAAAAGCGGAATGCATTTGTTTGTGGACTTTCTACGGATGGTCGAACAATGAGCTGAAAACACGGGACAGCTGAACGGAAAACACAGAAAAAGCAGAAAGCATTTTAGAAAGAGTTGGAAAACCCTGAATGACACACACCTCCTTCACCGAGGAAACAAGTTTGTTGTTCAATGAAGCGTATCGTTTTAGAGAGGGCTGCTAGAAGAGAAAAAGAAATGAGAGGAGGCAGGGAGCAGTCCAGCAGGCAGCCTGACAACCACCTCTGAAAGTGCTGAAGGCTCTACATGAAATGTCTCCATATTCCCAATCCATCATTGCTGTACGGTTGTTCCTGCATTAAGTAAAATGTATTAATAACTATGCTGTATCACAAGATGTTCCTTTATACCAGTGATTCCCAACCAAGGGTGCATATACCGAGTAATGGGAAAGAGTAAGTAACTAATTTGAAACAATAAAATTAAAGGCAAAGCAGAGCTAAAAGTTTTGGATAGTGGTTGAAAAACAGCCGATTAACTTCTTTCCCGTTGCCAGTACACAAGTTAGCCTCTTAAGTAAGTAACCAGTAGAAAGCAGCATGGAGGACACTGACAATATATATTTATTTATTTATTTTTTCGTCAAGGAAGCAGGAGAAACTCTCTCACCTTGCAGTCTCAGAGCTTAAATTACAATAAGACCAAAACTGCTGTTGCATGCTGTCCCCATACATTGTAAAAAACTATATTTACGTGCCAACATTGGATCTTCAACACGTCACAGCTGGAAAAGGAGCAAAAAAATAGCACGTACACCCGAATGTCATGTTTTCATCACTGCCGGTCAGAGCTGGAACTGATGAATAGCTGCTACTATATACACTACCAAAGAGTCATTTGACCCAGGAATGCATGTCGATTGTACCTTTCATTATTTAGCAAAAAAACAGATGTTAGTGGGGTTTTTTTGTCCAGTGTGAAAGGAGCTGTATACACAACTTTTATATGTCTAATATCGTTAAATAACATTTACTTTAAAATGCACTGAACACATTGGGACAGGTGGTGTTGATGAAGAGTTTATTCTCATTATTAAACAATAAAAGGTTGGAGAACACTGCCTACGAGTCTTGCTGGAGTTCTGATCTCTTCTCCGTGAGCCTTAAAAGTAAGTGAAGTTGTGCCAAAATCCTAATTTCTCATTTGCTGAATTAATTAGCTGAGCTGAAAATTAGTCGACTCTGATAATCAACTGTTTATCAAGTTCCATTTTCTCTGCTTGGATCTGGAAACTCCTGATTAGCTCTTCAAAGCCCTCTCTAGTCCTACTAAGTGAGGCCCGACCGGGAAAAACTCAAGACCCATGAAGAACTCCATTTGTGATAGGCATTTTTCACATCTTGTTTTACATTTGATAGACCAACAATTAACCCAAAAAGCAAACAACAGACAGATTATAATCACTGGCGAAAATAATCCTTAGTTGCTGCCCTACATTTATCTCCGGTGGAGCCAACAGTACAAGAGTGCATATGTTATTAGCACTATTAGTACCTAATCACTAAAAATATGTAATAATTGTAACCGTATGTAAGTGATGCAGGGTGGGTAATGCCGACAAACACCGTGTAGCCGTCACAATCTCTTCCCTTCAATGAACAAATAATGAATCATTTCTGACACATTACACGCAAAATGAAGGGGGCTGTTAAGAGAAGTGTTTATCAAACAACAGGTGGTGGAGCGACAGCCACGGCCGATAATCAGGTCTTTTCATTATGTGGCTTATTGACAAATGCATTCAACGTGGTGATTCACCGTACAATTACTGTGCCTTTGTGAAACTGTGTTTTTCCAACCATTGAATAAACAATAGGCACTGATACGCCTACAGGAGCTCTAACAGTCTTATTATATTCAGATTGTGCAGGTTACGTGGATTTCGAACGTTTGAAAGGTTACACACTGCTTCAGTGACTTTTACACTGTGCAAGGAAATAGGAAGCCTACTGGTAATTGGTCTTATTCATTATTTAAAAGCATGTCTGCTTTGTTTTTTTTAAACACGGTGACATGGAAACTGTGGATTTGTTTTTACACTAAATGTCACTGTTGGATTTAGTGATTCAAAGAGACGTGTGATGTCTGAATATGGGAGTGTGCGGTGCCTTTTAATTCAATTCAATTCAATTTTATTTGTATAGCGCCAATTCATAACAGAAGTTTCTCAGGACACTTTTCAAATAGAG